TACATTTAAACCCTGTTACTTCATTACATCATTAATCACTGCTTAACCCCCCCCTCTCTCTCCCCACCGACACACACACACAAAAAAAAAACGCTGTTGTAGAAATTCAAAATTGAGAAAACAAAAAAATAGAATGAGGGTTTGACTGGCAGAAATGATTACGTACTTGCTGGGATAGATTTTAAAGTCAACTACGAAAAGCATATTTATTTATTCAAAACATTTCCTCCCATGTTCAGTAATATTCCGTATTTCATTATTATTTACATATTTCATATTAGTTTAACTCTTAATATACTTAATATAATGTCAACTTATTATGTTATAATCCGTAAAAGTAAAGAAAGATTCATATTATTTATATTTGTCATCTCTAAATCATCAATCACATTATATAGTGGTATATAATGTAGAGTGAGGCATTACCCTGATTGAGTTACGTTGGGAGGTGTTTTTTGCAACGCCAAATTAACAAACGTCAAAATTAAAAAAAATCTGACGTGTTTGTGTACGGCCTTTCATACTTCTAGGCTACATTAACACACACACACACATACACACGAGAAGTGAAAACAAGCAGGATTTGTTTATTGTGTATATGTGTGTGTGTGTGTCTGTGTGTGTGTGTATAAGAGTGAGTATGTGTAAATAATAAATAACAGTCTTTCACTTACATTATTCATTTTGCTAGACTAAAAACACAATTATTACCTACCATTTTTATACGTCAGCTGTGAACATACGCGGACATCAAAGCCTTCTGGGGGGAAAAACGAAAAAAAAAACGAAAGCATTAAAACTTCAGCCCGTAAATCACACCCCTGACATCATGAGATAAAACGTATTTCCCGTGATCTTGGAATCCTGGACGAGTTACCTAGTGAATTATTTATGATAACCCGAACCAACTAAAGCTAATCTAAACAAACCTAACTTAACCCTATAAAGAGGATGGTTTAACCTGATGATGATGGTTTAACTCTAAGGAAGATGGTTTAACCTTTTGAAGATGATGGTTTAACTCTTTGAGGAGGAGGAGGATTTAACTTTCTAATGATGATGATGGTTTAACCCTTTGAGGAGGAGGATTTAACTTTCTAATAGTAATGGTTTAACTCTAAGGAATGTGGTTTAACCTCTTATATACGTGTGTGTAAATATTTATCTCTGCTTTGGGGTTTTTTCTCGTGTGCATAGGTAGAGAAAACATAATTAAGACGAGTCAAACCTGTTCATAATTACCTAGAAGCCGTCTTATGGGATGTGTGGCTAATTGCAAACCTGTATACAGTACTAGTAAACTCGAACCCATCCGAACCCATCCGAACCCATCCAAACCCATCCGAACCCATCCGAATCCAGTCTTATGTAGCTCTGGTCTTGTCCGAACCCGACTTATATAGGGCATAGGTCGGGTTCGGTTGGAGTATGTGGAATATAGATCAGTAAGTTTGTGGTGTATGATGACCTGACTTGTGTTTGGCCTCTGGTTGCCCGTAGGAAAGTCAGGAAATTAAACATAAATAACAACTGACTTAAATGCATCGGGTTGAAAAATATGAAGCTCCTCCCACTATCACATTGACCAATCATGAGCCTCGGTGCCTTTTAAAACCAGATCTTTGTTAACGTTTGTTATGGGAGAGGATATTTCTCTCTTCTACTGTTGGTTAATATTATGTGTGGATTACTCAGTTGTTTGCTATCATGTCTAAGTTATGTTTACTCGTGTGTCGCTTGCACCTATGGATGTCTGACCTCGCAACATCATATATAATATCGTGTAAAAATGATTTCCCGTGTTCGTCTTGCTAACCAGAAAATTGCGTCTGAGAGGGCGGACTCTCCAAGGGACTAGTTTTTCCAAGGGCCAAGAGTTCACCCGATACCTATGTGAGATCCTATACCTTCTTTGAGCAATATGACCCGTGGGTAAAAAATGGATCACCTGAAGATTAGACACCCCAAGTTATTTCACCAAAAGAGTAACCACCCAAACTCTAACCTAAGCTAACCACCCCCAAACGTTACTTTTAACCTAACCTAACCAAACCTAACCCTCCAGGTAAGCGTTAGGGTGGAACAGGTGAGTAATCAGGTGAAATAAACTGTGGTGTAAGCGATCCCCCATAAGATGAAAAACATGTCATCAAATGGACGTATAACCAAGACCATCATTATCTGGCAGTAACGTTCCTCCACTCTGCTGCTCCATTGCCCACCACCACGATGAAGACGACGAAGAAAACGAACGAGAAGAAATTATCTGGGACATATGAGCAGCACGGGAGGGGAGTTACATGGTTGCCCGTCTCAACCACACCACAAGCAAGAAATTTTAGTCGTCCGGAAGAGAAATTCGCCCGGAACAGATTCTCCCTTAGGTAATGACAGTCTCCAGTTCTCCCGTGTTCATTTCTCTACCTTCAATTGATGTTGTATTTAACTATATTGTTATATTATCCTCGCTATATTAACTAGGAATGGGAAATAATTGATAATGTTCCTCAGGTGTTCCAACTTCCAGTGTTACCAGCATCGTCTGACATAAACCCTAAAATCGTCTTGATAGCTAACAGGACCTGATAGCCTCACAAATCTCGCGACCTCTAAACATTACGACGTGTTGGCTGGAAGGCATTTCTCAGTTCGCTCACGGCGGTGCTGGGAGACTAGGAATGCCTTCTTCACCCAACCGCACCACCACTTCTATGCCGACACATTAACAGTCCTCAGATGGTCGACCAAATGCGAAAAGTTTCTTCAGGAATGGGTGACACTGTTCGTCTAGGTGGCGATAAATCTCCAGGGTGGGCGGAGGTGAAGTGGCTGGCATGCTGGCTCTTTTTTTTTGCGTGTGTGTGTGTGTGTGTGTGTTCTTCCAATGTCGTGTGTGGTACTGGTGGCGGTGTAGGGTGTAGTACTGTTGTTGGTGGTGGTGGCGGTGGTGTTGTTGCTGTTATTATTGGTGATGGTGGTATGTTGAGTCGGTGATTTAAACCTCCGTGTGTCCTATAAGACACCTTCTTTCCCTCCCCCTCTCTCTCCACAAGGACAACTTTCTTCACAATCTCGTCTCTCTGCTTCTAAAATTTCCTGAATTATTTTCCCTTCTTAATGATCATTAGTTTCCTCCACCACTGATATTATATTTTCCCAGGATGAAGTTTCTCTTAATCATCTGTATTTAATTAGCAGTTGATGGTGGGGCGAAAAAAATATATATTCTCGTCCCGTCAACTTGGTGGAATCACTGAGTTATTTCACGGTGGCAGAAACTTCTGTACATTAAATTAAGAAAGTGAGTCGTACCCGTGCGGTGAGTATTAAAAATCAGTTGAGGTATTCTTAAGATTTTATTTCTAACCTAACCTACTCGTATAGTAACCTAACCTAACTTTACCAACCCCTATTCTAACCTAACTATCCCGTAACTTAATATAACCTACCCCCCCTAAACTAGCTTCATGTAATGGTTAATATAATATCACTTTCTTTCTTATTCACTTATTACTAAAAAAAACAAAAGAAAGGCGATATTTAACCTACAAGAAAAAACAATAATAATGGTTCCTAAATATATATTCCAATTGCTATAACATCTTCTCCCTCATAAACTATATCATAAACCGAGAAACTCAACATAATTCGTGTGTAGTAGTAGTAGTGTGGGGAGTGTAGCTGTTTTTCGCTTTATACAATACCTTCTTGGTCGAAAATTCTCATGTCTGTGAAGCTTTGCGGTGGTATACAAAAAATCACGTTTATACCGATCACGTCATGCAGTTTGTTATCTGAGGAATATATTTTTTCTTCTCATCGAATCCTTGCGAGTATTAATATGGAACAAAAAACAAAATCGCACCGTGGATGTTATATAAAATACATGTAATTTGTTAAAGGGAGAATTGTAACCCATCCTAAAGTTAAGATCACTGTGAAGTTAACGCTTCTTGCCTCACACACACACACACCTAAATTCTCCTGTTGTGTTTCTTGTCTGGCAAACTCTCGCACTTCATATCGAGCACATGCAATTTGTTAACAGGAGAATGGTATCTTATCCTCTCATCAACATCCTGTTGAGTTTTATGCTGGATGATTCGCCTCTGCCTTTCTGCTAGTGAGTTTTCTAATTTCGCCATCAAGCCTCGCATTCCTTCGCGCTGCTGCCCCGACCATTGTTACATGAGTTACTGAGTCTTTAGCCGCCGCTTTTTTTTTACCATTATTATTCTTTTTCTTCATATCTCTTCTCCAGGATTTTTCTTTGCTCTTATTCTTCTCCATTCCTTTATTTGTCTCTTATTTTATATTATCAATTATCTTTGTTTTACCCTGAGACTTTAACCATTTCTAAAATTTCTTCGTCTTCTTTCGTAAGTCATTCGTAATCCTTAGATCTTACCTTATCAGTTCTCCTTTGTCTTAATCTTGCATTCCTTCATTTCATCCTCCACTTTCTCATTCCCCAGAGCCAATAAAGTAAAATTTGTGAGGCTGACAGAAGTGGTATAGGTAAAAACTGCTGAGATAGACTACCAACAGCGAAAGTTGTAAATAGGCTGCTGGCCGACCCTCGTAAAACACCGTATCACAATGTTGTTATTAGGCGTGGAAGCTTCCTGGCCCGGGGTAGAAAATGGTGTTGGAGTTTACTTTAAGATTACGATTGCTTTCTAAGATTGGCTGAGTTTCTTGGATACGTAAAAGTGTGGTGTTATTAACTCACTTGACGTACACACAGGCTCATGTATACATATTCACGAGTACACACACTTATGTAAACACCGCAAGCACATGCATACACATAGACACGTGCACTTACATCTATAAACAAGCTCATAAATGCACACACACACACACACACACACACACATAGCACTATAGTATCTCACTTGGGTTCGGTCTATTTTCGAAAAGTACATGTATTAACTTTTGTAAATCCTATGTACTGTGCCTATGTTAACTGTCCCTCTCTCTCTCTCCTGATCACACAGTTAGCGTGGATCCAGCGTGATCGTTCAGCCATCCTGACGGTCGGTAATCACGTCATCACCCGCAACCATCGCATCGGGGTGTCACATGATGGTCACCGTACCTGGTACCTTAAGATTAAGGACGTGAGGCCAGGTGACGCGGGGACCTACATGTGTCAGATCAACACCGCCGTCGCTATCAGCCAGACCGGCCACGTCAGCGTTGTTGGTGAGTAACTTGGCAGTGTGTCGAGTCATGTGGGTTAGGTTAGGTTAGGTGTTACAACGAGTACTGATGCATAAACGTATAAATATATGAGTGACAGCAAGTCTCATAGTTAGTGAGATTACAACACTGTATACTAAACCTTCTGTACACTGGGAAGTACTGTGGCCGGCACTGTACTCGACTGCTCTCCTTTCCCCAACTATAAAGCTAGTTGCTTACTCACAACATGATGAACTGGGGGTCCCCGTGACTCTTAGAACTGGAGGCTCCGTGTTAAACCATAAACAATAAACACTGACTCCAAACCATAACATGAAGAAATATGGAGCAAAAGAATAAAGACCAAAACACTTCATCACTCCTGTTGTCTAAATTTCAGCTGCCTGGTTCAAAAGGTGAGTGAGATATCGTCCGGACAACAAGAGTGAAACAATAAGCGTCTCCCTTTCCACGCGCGGTGTACAAATGTATCTATTTACCGCCATAAAAGCTTCAGTAATATCTATAATTGCACCTTTATCATTTCTCATATGAATTTGAATATCAAATTAATTTTCTTTTTAATTAATTATTCCTGTGGAGAAAATGTCATTACTTTAGAGTAGAATTCTGACTCACACTGAGATACTGAGTGTGATTTTTAGTCTGATTGCGATTTATGTTATTGCCTTATTCTGTGATTTTATTATTACTTTTTTATTGAGTTCGATTCTGTGATTTTTATTCAGGTTGTGTTATTTTTTTTTATTGTAATTATGAATGTTCTCCCTATGATGACGTCACTCCACAGTGCCTCCGTACATAAAGGATGAGATGAGCAGCAGGGACGTGGGCCTCCTGGAGTGCATGGACCTGACCCTCGCCTGCAGTGCTCGAGGATCACCTGTGCCGACCATTAAGTGGAGGAGAGAAGATGGCAGTAATATACGTGTTAACCTCACTACCTCCAGTAAGTGTTAACCTCACTATACCTCCAGTAAGTGTTAACCTCACTATACCTCCAGTAAGCATTAACCTCACTACCTCCAGTAAGCATTAACCTCCCAACCTCCAGTAAGTGTTAACCTCACTACCTCCAGTAAGTGTTAACCTCACTACCTCCAGTAAGCATTAACCTCACTACCTCCAGTAAGCATTAACCTCCCAACCTCCAATAAGTGTTAACCTCCAGTCCTCATCAACACCTGTTCATACTCTCCCCAGATCAATTATCCATTTACCTTTCACCTCAAAAAAAGTATCTAGACCCCCTCCTAAAGACTTCCTAAATAGTCATAATATTGATCCTCTGCTGTTCCTCCTCCAATATAATAGTCAACATGTAAACTTGTCCTAAGTCACCATCCCATAAGAAGCTGTGTTGACGTCATCTCATCAGGTGTAAAACTCAAGGCATGCATCTGGGATTTTGCACAGTCACTATCGCCAGTCTCTCATCATCGCCAGTCACTATTGCCAGTATCTTATTGCCATGCCAGTCTGTCTATCATACAGTTCCTCCGTCAGTAGTAATACATCAGTCTATCATACACACAGTTCCTTCGTCAGTAGTCTATCAGTCAGTCTATCACACAGTTCCTCCGTCAGTAGTAACATGCCAGTCAGTCTATCACACATGGTTCCTTCGTCAGTAGTCTATCAGTCAGTCTATCACACAGTTCCTTCGTCAGTAGTAACACACCATTCTCTCCGTCACACAGTGGTGGAGGTGCCGGGGCCACTCCTACAACTGACGCAGGTGAGCAGGACGGATATGGGCGCTTACCTGTGTATCGCCTCCAACGGTATTCCTCCCTCCGTCAGCAAGCGAATCCAGGTGGAGGTGAAGTGTGAGTACCTTAACTTATAGTGAATCATCTATTTAACGGACTATATAGAGATAAAAATCCGGTATATAGAGGTGGTCCGTTAGATGTTGAAAACGGACTAAAGGGAGAGAGAAAAGTCCTTACCTTATCTTATCTTATCTTATCTTAGTCCTGCCGACGGTGTTCGTACCACATCAGCTGGTCGGTGTCCCTCTGAGCCAAGACGTCACCATTGAGTGCTACATCGAGGCTTATCCTGCAGGACTCAACTATTGGAAGAGACCCAACGGCATTGAGGTCCTTCACTCCGATGACAAGTAAGTACTGGGTGTGTGTGGGTGGAGGGTGTGGGTGTGTGTGGAGAAGGTGTGGGTGTGTGTGGAGAAGGTATATATGTGTGAGAAAAAGATAAATCTATATAAATTACAAATACAACCATACCTTTGTTTTGACAGGTATGAGGTGAAGGAGGTGGTAGGGTCACAGAAATACAAGACCCACATGTTGCTTACCATTAGCGACGTCTCCCTAGCGGATATCGGTGAATATAACTGCATCGCCAACAACAGCCAAGGAGGCGCTGAACAGGTGGTGAGAGTGTCAGCGTCTAACCCCGTTCAGTACAACCGCAATGCCCTGGAAAAAGGTGAGTTGAGTTGTTTTGTTAACAGAGGAGGGTTAGGGGGTCTCAGTATGGGTGAGATAGGTAGCTAGAACTCTTATAGGGAGGGATAGGGGGATAGAACTCTTATAGGGAGGGATAGGTAGCTAGAACTCTTATAGGGAGGATAGGGGGGGAGGGATAGGTAGCTAGAACTCTTATAGGGAGGGATAGGTAGCTAGAACTCTTATAGGGAGGGATAGGTAGCTAGAACTCTTACAGGGAGGGATAGGTAGCTAGAACTCTTATAGGGAAAGGAAGTAGAGACGAAGAGAATGTCTCCCTCATGAGGAAATACATCACATGAACACTACAAATAAAACCAAGATAATGTTTATAAGGAATGAGAAACTTGGAAAAAAATACAGAAAATAGAGTACCCCGAAACACCTATTCCCCTTATAAATGGTGGAAAATGGAGGAGGAGGATGGGGGTGATGAGAAGGGAGTAGGGGGGGAATGGGGGGAATGGGGCTCTGAAGTGAAGGGAATAACAATCTTGTATAGGGAGGTCTAAGGGTACCAGTAGGACATCTTAGGGATAGGCGTAGGGCCGTCAGGGAGCAGCAATAGATCAGGTCCTCAGGTCACGAAGGCTAAGGAGTATTAAGGAATATTAGGATAAAGTGAGAGGGTGTAATCTGCCACCATAGACGAAACACTCACTGGGAAATAGGAGACAGAATCATGAAGAAAGTCAAATGAGACACAAAGATAAAGAGATAAAGATTAAAAAATGAAAATAACTCGAGAGAAAGTGATAATATTACAATAAACAAGGAAATATAGAATAATGGATAATATAGCAGGTGAAGATAGAGCACTAGTTATTATACAGGTGTCTTGGTGTTAGTATATTATTAGTGTTATTCAGTCACTCCTTTGACTCTAATGGTACTTACTTCAATATATAGATTAGTCAGGGTTGCCATCCATTGTACATAGTTACCAGATGCTGTCTTGACTCTCACACTTCCTCTCTAATTCATTATCTTCTTAATTACACACCTATACATGTGTTATAAATTTCCTGTCATCTTTCAACTCGGTGGTGTAGTGGTTAGTGTCTCATCGTGGTGTTATAGTGGCCCGAGTTCGATCCCAGGATACACCAAGAGGCTTCCACTACAATTCTAGTCAGACAGTGGGGTAGAAAGCTTCGACCCAAGTATCCCAAACGTTGGTTAGGTTAGGTAGGGGAAGGTGTTGATATATCCCTGACACTCAAAACAGCAGAGTCTTGGCTGGTAATAGGGTAAGGGAGAGGTCGAAGAGACGAGCTTGAGTGTTGTTGATTTCTTTTCTCAGGTTTTGACAACAAGGAGATCACATACGGCAAGTCTTCCCTCTCGGCCGTTAACTGGAGCAAAGATAACGGTGAGTCATTCTGTCATCCGGAAATATTAGTTTGGTGAATGTGATCTGTTTGTTAGAGTTGTTTGTATAGTAAATAATATACAGTACACAGGTTAGTAGAATACACTTCTTGTCGCTATTTCCTTCCACACTGCCTCATTCACTGCCTCCTCAAACTGTTTCACACTGCCTCACATACTGCCTCCTCACACACCTCTAACAACACTCTGTCTCTCTCTCTCTCTCAACAGACGCATCAGCCGCACTGAAAGACGATCATGACGACCACCACAAATGGCCCCCAAGGACACCCAACACCCAGCAGCGACAAACCACCAACAAGAGACTCCCCAACCAGAGTTTCGATCACGATTCTTCTTCGCCTCCTTCATCCTCTGCAGCTCCCACCTCCTCCGCGTTCTTCCAGAGAGATTGTATGTGGCTGCAGCAACTGGGCACAATCACTTGGCCCATCGTTCTCCTGACAGTGACTTTACAAGGGTATAGCGGGCAGGTTGAGGACGTGTGGTGTTTGTGGTAGTGTCGTCCCCCTGCCCTCTAGTACCTGCCTGTAGAAGGTACGCTGGTGTAGGTGATCCTCTATAGTTCGTTAGTGAGGTGTGACTGGTTTGTAATTAACGGAGGCCAAACTTGTTGTTCTCTCTCATAAGATTCTCGCGGTCTGAGTCGTAGACCTATAAAGTGTGTGGTACCTGGAGTGTTCATCAGCTTGCTACCTCATCAGTGACGGGAGGTGTAGGTCTTTGGCTCTCCTGCCCTGCACTCGACCTGCCCTGCCATTCCCTGCCCTCCCTGCCCTGCCCTGGCCTACCCTCTAAATGCCCTGCCCTGCCCTACCCTACCCTCTACCTACCCTACCCTACCCTACCCTGCCCTCTACCTACCCTGCCCTACCCTGCCCTGCCCTGCCCTCCCTGCCCTGCCCTACTCTACCCTCTACCTACCCTACCCTACCTTACCCTGCCCTCTGCCTGCCCTGACCGTGCCCTGTCCTGACCTGTGAACCAACTAGTCCTTCACGTCAGGAGTCAGCTGATGATTAATCTCCAAGTAAAACCATTTTTTCAAGTGAAGGAATTTACAGTTGTTCTTTTTTACCCCAATGACTTTATGAACTGGGTGTATGATATGTACAGTGGACCTAACCTAATCTAACCTAACCTTAGCTAATTCAGGGCTTTTGATGTGAGATCTCGGGGTTATGGGTCGTCTAAGTAACCACATAAGGATCCACTAACGCCAAATCGACGTAAAAATCCCACTAAATCAGCATTAATTCGACGTCGATTTAACATAAAAACGACTTCTGGTAGCCACTGGAGGGAGGGAGGGAGGGAGGGAGGGAAGGGGCTTGAGAGGGATGGAGGGTTAGGAGGAGACCTAGTTTGCCTCCTTCCATCAATACCTTGGCTGTCTGTCCTCATCTCCTGGAGTTTCTTAACGTGAATTAATCGTATTTTGATCTATCTTCTCTGTCCATGTATACAGAGGAGGTTCTATACATATATATATACATAAAATACATAGTGCCATATTGGATATCTCTCCAACTATTTAGTATTTGTAATTAATGTAAATTTTTGCAGTGAAGTGTTGCTATTTCCACAAATTCTCGCTCCCCAGATGACTAACTATCTGCATCTCTATATATATAAATACACAAATATATATACATATATATATTACCATACACGAACATAGTATGAATATGTACATATCTTCTGTATATATGTATTTGTAAGTATATCTTAACCCGTGAGCTGTTATGAAGATTAGTAACTTTAATTAATTTGTATGTGTATGTTTGTAAAGCTGAGTCAAGGAGCCTATTTGTATGAGTATCAGTTAGCTTCGGCTCTCTAGAGTGACCTAACCTAACCTAACCTAACCTAACCTAACCTAACCTAACCTAAACCAACCTAACCTAACCTAACCTCAACCAACCTAGCCTAACCTAACCTCAACCAACCTAACCTAACCTAACCTCAACCAACCTAACCTAACCTAACCTCAACCAACCTAGCCTAACCTAACCTCAGCAACTTCTTACAACACAATAACCTGAACCAACCTAGCAGCACTCAGCCAGCCTAGCCTAACCTAACCTCAACCAGCAGCCTAACCTAACACAGACCAGCCTAGCCTAACCTAGCACTCAACCAGCCTAGCCTAGCCTCAGCCAGCTAGCCTAACCTAGCCTGAACAACCTAACCTAGCACAACCTCAACCAGCCTGAACACAACACAGACCAGCCACAACCTAACTAACCTCAACCAGCCTAACCTAACCTAGCCTCAGCCAGCCTAACCTAACCTCAACCAACCTAACCTGACCTCAACCAACCTAACCTAACCTCAACCAACCTAACCTAACCTAACCTAACCTAACCTTCCGAGACACAATCATATCCTAAAGCGGTATATAAACTATCCATACAGTCATTCAGAAGGATATGGTTATCCTAGAGTCCTTCCGGAAGACAGTAACCATCCTTCACTCCTTCAGAAAGACAATAAATCCTTCACTCCTTCAGAAAGACAATAAATCCTTCACTCCTTCAGAAAGACAATAAATCCTTCACTCCTTCAGAAGGACAATAAATCCCTCAATCCTTCATCCTCCACTCCTTCTAAGAGACATTAACCCATCCTACAGTCTTTCAGAGAGACATTAACTCATCCTACAGTCCTACAGAGAGACATTAACCCATCCTACAGTCTTTCAGAGGGACATTAACCCATCCTACAGTCTTTCAGAGAGACATTAACTCATCCTACAGTCTTTCAAGAGAGACATTAACCCATCCTACAGTCCTTCAGAGAGACATTAACCCATCCTACAGTCTTTCAGAGAGACAGTAACCCATCTACAGTCTTTCAGAGAGACATTAACCCTTCCTACAGTCTTTCAGAGAGACAGTAGCATACTACAGTCTTTCAGAGAGACATTAACCCATCCACAGTCTTTCCAAGGGGCATTTAACCCCATCCTCCACTCCTTCTAAGAGACATTAACCCATCCTACAGTCTTTCAGAGAGACATTAACTCATCCTACAGTCCTACAGAGAGACATTAACCCATCCTACAGTCTTTCAGAGGGACATTAACCCATCCTACAGTCTTTCAGAGAGACATTAACTCATCCTACAGTCTTTCAGAGAGACATTAACTCATCCTACAGTCCTTCAGAAAGACATTAACCCATCCTACAGTCTTTCAGAGAGACAGTAACCCATCCTACAGTCTTTCAGAGAGACATTAACCCATCCTACAGTCTTTCAGAGAGACATTAACCCATCCTACAGTCTTTCAGAGAGACATTAACCCATCCTACAGTCTTTCAGAGAGACATTAACCCATCCTACAGTCCTTCAGAAAGACATTAACCCATCCTACAGTCTTTCAGAGAGACATTAACCCATCCTACAGTCTTTCAGAGAGACATTAACCCATCCTACAGTCTTTCAGAGATACATTAACCCATCCTACAGTCCTTCAGAAAGACATTAACCCATCCTACAGTCTTTCAGAGAGACATTAACCCATCCTACAGTCTTTCAGAGAGACATTAACCCATCCTACAGTCTTTCAGAGAGACATTAACCCACCCTACAGTCTTTCAGAGAGATATTAACCCATCCTACAGTCTTTCAGAGAGACATTAACCCATCCTACAGTCTTTCAGAGAGACATTAACCCATCCTACAGTCTTGCAGAGAGACATTAACCTATCCTACACTCTAGAGAGACTTTAATTTAACCCAGAGAATCCTTCAGAGAGAGATAAAGAAAAACTAAATAAAATAATAACAGTAACACAAAACCCAACAAAAGTTCTCAGTTCTTAAGTTCTACAAAACACTTCGTCTGTCTTCCATTTGAGAATATGTTTGAGCAAGGGAGGAGCGGTGATAAGACCCTTCTTCCTTACCTGTATCCCCGACACCTGTGAGAGAGAGAGAGAGAGCCGCCCCTCCCTGTGTCTTTTAGTGATGTGTACCTGATGTGTCCTCTGTTTACTATATAAAATAAAAACAATGTGGAAAAAGTTAAATCTATTTTGGGTTTTATTTATAACCTGTGTTTAATTAATTAAGGTGTTAGGTAATTAGTTCACCTGGGTAAGTTTGAGATAGTGATGTTATTTACGTATATTTATGGCTGATGATGATGTTATATCCGTTATAGCTTGTAACTGATGTCATAACTAGTCACGAGTGTCTCCACCAATCACAACACACTGACATGCTTAACTACCTTGAAAGTAAATTGTTTCTTGCCTTGGTAAACACAATCAACCTTACCATTGGCTGATTTGATAGTTGACACAAATAACGTCACATGGATAAAGTACAGAATGTCTCAGAAAAATGTATACACACACTACCCTACATAATTACATAGAGACAACTTGAATGTTTATAGTACATGATTAAGGCAGAGTGTATACATTTTTCTGAGACACTTTATAAAGGCGGTAAGCATAATTCTGACCAGTATAACATATGAAGAATTATCAAACAGTCCTCCAAGATTTAGGTCCCTGTATATTAATTACAAGAGCATCTACAGTCGCCACCTCCGCCTTCCCCTGAGCAACGACCACTGAAGAGGTATGTCCTGTAACCTGTAGACTCTACTTATTAACAGGTAAAGGTTAGAGAGTTGCTACAATGGAATACTCACCAATTAAATGTTCCTATCCACTCCTGTTCGAAACTATACTAGAGGTGAATGGGTGAGTAAGCGATCTTTTTGGTAACTCGTTTTAGTACTGAGACTCGTGAGGTGTGAGGGAAGGTGAGGTGAAGGAAGATGGTGAGGTCTATCTATCTATCTATCTATCTATCTATATATCTATCTATCTATCTGTCTATCTGTTTGGTACACGTCGAGAAGATTGGACAGGTATTGGACGTGTTTTAGGTCACTGTTCCTTATTTGGTCGAAAATACTGGCAGTTTCCTCGAAGCCTGAGGCATATATCACCTCCTCACACACACACACACACACACACACACACACACACACACACACTGGCACTCCCTCTCCCCCACTGAGAACAGAGGAAGGCACTCGAACCCCCCCAGGAGTGCCACTAGGCATCCCTCCTACCCAGTCACCTTCACCGTCTCCTCACCCACTTCCTCGCTATTACACTGTTTTATGATTCTTCCCGCCAGATTTCATTTTCTTATTAAAATAAATACAAAAGTTTGATTTCATTTCACAGGCAAAGAAAACTCTATTTGTTTTGTCTATGTTGCGTATTTTCTTATTTTTGTGTTGTTATTTTTCTTGTTTTTTTTATTATAATTACGTCGGTGCATATGTATGCTGTATTTGTGCATTAGTGTATGTATGAATGAAGGAGTTTGTATTATATTGACTGTATTAGTGCATTTATGTATGAAAAATGAATGCTATGTGTACATGTAGGCTGCAGGCATGAATTATGTATAATATATGGGTGAAATTGTATGTATATGTATATGTATATTTCAAAGACCAAGAACTAGTGCATCTTTATATATGTAAATATCTGCCTTGAACACAGTGCCACTCTACCTTGAACACAGTGCCACTCTACCTTGAACACAGTGCCACTCTGCCTTGAACACAGTGCCACTCTACCTTGAACACAGTGCCACTCTACCTTGAACACAGTGCCACTCTACCTTGAACACAGTGCCACTCTACCTTGAACACAGTGCCACTCTACCTTGAACACAGTGCCACTCTACCTTGAACACAGTGCCACTCTACCTTGAACACAGTGCCAAACCTTATAGTGACCTTAACGGAGCATTCTATCCACGTCCATGCTCAGGTCATCAGCTGTGGCACTCAGACCTGACACTGCCTCTCACACTTGTTTACAGTCATCACGAGTTTGAATGTCGAGGATTATTCATTTAGCTTAATATTGGGCTGAGTCTTGATATTTTATTTAATAGAAGTGAATAGGTGTATAATTACGTTTATAATTAGGTCATTTTGAGTTTTAATTCGTCTTAATTTGTATATATATAATTTCGTGGTTGTTAGAGAGTTAATCAAGATGCTTAGAATAATATCAATAATGACAGAAATAATTGTTAGTGTGTGTGTGTGTGTGTGTGTGTGTGTGTGTGTGTGTGTGCTCCTGATTTCAACATGTATGAGACTCACTTCACCATTGTACGTAAGTGGAGTCATTTCAGGAGCTTTAGTACAGGAGTGAGCCAAGTCAAGCCAGGCAAATATACCCTAACACTGCTGATGAAGGCCAGTCACTGACACCTTACAACTGGAGGTAGGATATTACACTCTCTCTCTCTCTCTCTCTCTCTCTCTCTCTCTCTCTCTGCCTCTCTCTCTCTCTCTCTGCCGGATTCTGATATGTACTAATCAAATCATTGAATGGTATATTAACTTTGGTAAATAATTCAGAAACTAGAAGGCGCTGGGTGAATTTACATAAATCAATACCTGGCAACTGTTCACAATTCGGCATCAACAATTACCTTAACTAGTTTCGTGTATTGAGATAAAGCATCAGTGTTTATTGTTGTGTCTGTAGACTTGTAGAGAACAGTTGTTAGCGTCTGTGTTTATGTGAATCGGGAATCGTATTTTGCCGCTCTGTATAAAACAATTGATCATTTTTGTAGATAAATAATTGTGAAGTGTGGCGGTGTCTGTGTTTGAGTAAGAGTTGATAAAGTCTATTTTACGAGAAGTGAGGATCTTGATAAACAAACACACACGCCACATTGTTTACCTCCAAAAAAAAACAATAATGTGAAATTTCTCTTTGTGATTCTTTAGATAATAATCGTTCTCTTTATAAACTCAGGTTCATTAATTACTGTAGTTATTTATAGAGTGATAATATCCAAGACTTTTACTGAGTTGAGACAAAATCCAACCTAACCTTACCCAACTTAACCCCTCATGGAAGTATAATTAATCCTCGGTTAGTTAGTGAACGAGTTAGTGAGTTAGTGAACTAGTGAGTTAGTTAGTGAACGAGTTAGTGAGTTAGTGAATGAGTGTTCAGTTTGTGTTATGATTTTGAACTTGGTGTTATGTTATGATGGTTTTTTAGTGATCTTCTCTGCACCTCTGTCGGGATCTCCACACCTGTCGGGATCTTCTCCACACCCGTCGGGATCTTCTCCACACCTGTCGGGATCTTCTCGGTGAGTAAGAATACTACTTTATACACAGGTTAATGGCAAACGTCTCCCTTGTGCACGATATCCAATGTTGATGTTAATATCTGACGTTACTTAACCTAACCTAATAGAAAACTCTTGTGGTGTAGTTATGAATCTGAACTGTAATGGTTGTTTGAGTGTCCTTGGGCGTTGTCGGTCTGTCAACGTAAATGATACAGGCAAGATCAGTCTTCAGTCTTCTGTGTTGACGTTACATTGTTGTTGAAGTATTCAGGGTGACCACAACATTGTACCACCACCACATTGTACCACCACTACCACAACATTGTACCGCTACCACCATGTTAAACTTGCATTACTGTGTTCAAATATTAACCACTCGTTTCAGATAATTTTCGAAGTTTTATTAAAAGAAAACTATGATTAATTTTATAAAGGTGATTATAAAACTGCGTAATTAAATATTTAAAAAGATATATTTTGTAGGATTAAAGAGTAAAATAATATTATGTGTATTAAACAGTGTGTGTGTGTGTGTGTAATAATAATAATAATAATAATAATAATAATAATAATAACGGTTTATTGAAAGAGCTTGGCAGCCAGAAGGCTGAAAATATACAGTTACATATTTGGGGAATGGGTTACGAGTTACAAATAATATACAAGTGACATAAGTGACACAAATAAGACATATAGTAACTTAGATGGGGATCAGCTCAAACTACAGTTCATTTCAACATAGTGACAGTGTAGGGAGCAGTGTTTACTGGGAGTGAATACACTGATTTATTACATGTTATTGATAATTTTACAATGGTTGGGACTGGGCTGTTCTTATAGTGATCAGTTCGTGCACGTATGGGCTGGATGCGGTTGTGGTGTCAATTCTGTAATTCTCGGACAAGGGGATCTCAAGGTGGTAGTAGGGGCCGGTGTCGGGGATGGTGTAGAAGCTTCTTACCAAATTTGCAGATGAGGCCGTGGTGGTGGTCAGTGAGAGTCGAAAGGGTCAGTGTGTTGAGCGCTTCTTGATATGTGGAGTAGGAAGGGGAGAGAATAATCTTGCATGCCCTCTTTTGCACTTTTTCTAGGTGTTTACGTTGTGTGGCATTTAGGGAGGAAGACCAGGTGGGGGAGGCATAGGTGAGCTTGGGAAGTATGAATGTTGTGTATACACTGAGGAGCTCGTGTGCGGGAACTCCGAGGGACTTGAGTCGGCGGAGGAGGTGGAGACGGAAACTGGAGGATGACAACTTCACTGACGTGTGGTTTCCAATTTAGTTTGTTATTGTCTATGGTGACCTCGGGGAGCTTCGTGGAATCTACAACCTGGAGTGTGTGTTCGGACCCTAGGGTAATGGAGGAGGGTGTGTGTGTGTGTGTGTGTGTGTGAATTTTGGTACTTCTTTGGTGTACATTAACAATCACTATAAGATAGCACACGGACGAGGTAGGGAGGCATCACGTCATGTAGAGCAGGGTGATGACGGGTAGGGAGGCATCACGTCATGTAGAGCAGGGTGATGACGAGGTAGGGAGGCATCACGCCATGTAGAGCAGGGTGATGACGAGATAAAGGGAGGCATCACGTCATGTAGAGCAGGGTGATGACGAGGTAGGGAGGCATCACGTCATGTAGAGCGGGGTGATGACGAGGTAGAGGGCATCACGTCATGTAGAGCAGCGGAGGGGGAGTGAGGTGAGGAGGAGGTTGGTAGAAAGAGCTAGAAGGAACAGCAGAACATGATGACGTCACACAGGCCAGCATCGTCAGCAATGGAGTTTGTCTGGACGCGACTCTGATGCCCACAAATCCTATTGTTTCCTGTACACGATGCCCACGAGCTCCACACTCCGTCATCTGCTGGTGATAGTGAGTTAGTTTACACCAAGAAGGGGTTAGATTACAAAAGGAAGGAGATAAGAGCCAGTTTACATCAAGGAGGATCAGTTTACATTAAGGAATCGGTTTACACAAGGAAAAGGGTAGGAAATGTTAGTTTACCTTGAATACTACATAGGAAAATTAGTTTACCGTGGGAGTTTACAATAGGGTTAGTAGTATTAATTGTCTTATGAAACAAATTCTGTCACAATCCGATTTTGATTAACTGATTGGTTGTTGAGTGAATCGCATAGAAACCATCAACCAATCAACTGGTCCTCAGCGAGACTGTTGCTAAGGATGCTAAACAGGGGCGGAGTTTTGCCATCTGGTTTGTTTATAAACCTCTGTCGCCCAACAAACTTGATATTCGTGTAACTTTAAGCCAATTGTATGTTACTATTAAACCATAGACGGCTTTAATAATAAGCATAAGTAAATCTTCCCTGTTCTAAAAGTATGAATATTTATTAGATGGAAATATCGAAAGAAGAATAAGTGATATCCCCGTTGGCCGGAACAATTGGTGCAGAGCTCTACCGGGAATGAGAGATTTCTGGGTAAAGAGACGACTCTCTCAAAGCCAGAAAAAGTCCCATCCCCGGAATTTTCAGGAATTTTCCTGGTATTGGAAAAATTTTCTCGGAATTTTCCGGAAAATGTGCCCCTCGGAAAATCGTTCCCAAAGCCGGAATTTTCCGGAAAATTCCGACTTTGGGAACGATTTTCCGAGAAAATTTCAATTCCGGCTATTAGAGAGTTCCGGGGCTTGAGGGATTCCGGCTAACAGAGATATTGCTTGTATTAAGTCACCTGTGATTTTGGTGGTGAGGAATATGGCTTCCATCTCTCGACCGTCAACTGTCAGTATCTCTCTCTTTATCTCGTTCTTCTCCTGGAGATAGTGAAAGAAACAGTGTTAGTCTCATAATCCTATTTGTTAAATATAAGGTCGAATGGTTTGTAGGGAAGGACATGTTAGGCTAGGCTAGGTTAGGTTTATGTACAATAGGTAAAGTTAAATTAGATAAACTTGTGGTCTCTTATAAATGGGGACTTAACCTGTAATCACCATACCTGGGCAGGTGGGTGGTAGGTGTCGTTGAGTCCATCGAGGGTCTGGCCGTCTGAGCAGTTCATCTGGAAGTTATACATGCCTAGATCATCATGGAAAGTACCTTGTTCTGGCATCACATTCCCTCTTAGACTCTGTAGGTATTCGCCCTTGTTGCAGCTTCTTAGGCCTGGGGAGGGGGGCGGGTAGGTAGTGATTAATGGACTCTCTTCACACACACACACACATATATATTGCAAGGTGACCTAATCAAGCATAAGCAAGTTTGTGATTTACCTGCTGACTTTCACTTCATCAGTCCTCTTACCTGCTTTTACTGCTTGATTATATGCATGTGTAGTCAGTCAGTCAGTCAGTCAGTCAGTTATCCAGTCAGTCAGTCAGTCATCCAGTCAGTCGTCATCCAGTCATCCAGTCAGTCAGTCAGTCAGTCACCTATAGATCCTCCCTCACCTTGCCACTCGCCCTCCACGCCCTCACTGCTTATAGTATAGCCAGTAAGGGTACCAGTAACGTCCTTACAATACATCTTGATACCATTCATCGCCGTCTCGTCAACATGTCCGGCCGGTTCGAACTGCAAAGACACACAAACACATTTTTTTTAATCATTTTGAATAAGTGTTAAGTGATATCTGCACCTTAAATGACTCCCTGCCTGCCACTTTAAGAGATATGTGTTATAAGTTAAAGTGACACCTGTATCTAGTTAAGTGGTGTTAGCTGGTTCTTTGAGATACTTGCTTTCAGTTAAGTGACACCCCTTACCATTTAAGGGTCACAACTTACCACTTAGGTGACATCTCTTGATAATTAAATGACATCACTTTCCAGTTACCACTTAAGTGAGACCTTTAACCACTTACAAAAAAAATGTGTGGTGTAGTCCAAAGGGGAGGAGAGAAACGCAACGTGAGGAAGGAGGAAGATGCAACGTGAGGAGTGAGGAGGGAGATGCAACGTGAGGAGTTAGGAGGATGCAGAGAGGAGGAGATGCACAGGGAGATGCAACGAGAGTTAGGAGGAGATGCAACGTGAGGAGTTAGGAGGAGATGCAAGTGAGGAGTGGAGGAGATGCAACGTGAGGGTTAGGAGAGATGCAACGAGGTTAAGGAGATGCAACGTGAGGTTGGAGGAGATGCAACGTGAGGAGTTAGGAGATGCAACGTGAGGAGTTAGGAGGAGATGCAACGTGAGGGGAGATGCACGAGGAGTTAGGAGGAGATGCAACGTGAGGAGGGGGGGAAGGATTATGAAAAGAGTAAACAACACTTCCGTCTTTGTTTACATCTGGTGTGGTACTGTAGGCTGTCACCTTACCTTGATCTCAAAAGCGAAGACGTAAGATCCTGAAGGACAGAGATCCACGGACCCCCATTTGCCTCTACCCAGTCCATTGTCTACCTTCAGCGACTCAACCACCTCCTTGACCCCAGGAGCACCCGACCCTGAGGGAGAGATAACAGAGGAGTGAGTGTGGTCAAAGAAAATGTTAGTTATTTTGATCACGAGGAAGAAAATGAAAGGTAAGGGATGGAGAATCATTTTAGGGGACACAGGAAAGTAAACAGACACGGACGTAAGAATCATCTTCAAGCGACAAAGCAACGAAGGTGATACAGTTTAAATAATGATACAAAATATATCTGTATTCCAATTAAAACGCCTAAGAAGTGTGACTAAAATCCCCTGAGAAGATATTTGCCAAAAGTACTAAGGAATGATGCAGTCACAGAGGCGCCATTGACCAAGGGAGGCCGGAACTAGCAGCTGACAACGACACAGATGAAGAGCAACCTTACCGAGGGCCAACAGAGACAGCAGGAATACTAGTGTTGACATAGCGGCGTCAGCTGAACAATAAGAGGCGGCGTCCCTTCACCAGTGCTTTAATGCCAGGTTATTATAGCCCCAACACCTGTCGCGTCACCAGCCCCGCCATGTGTTATATTCACTTCCCCTCCCTCCTCCTTCCTCTCTCCTCCTCCTTCCTCCTCTCTCCCCCTTCCCCTCCCCACCACACAACATTCGCCTGTGTTGTTTCTCACGCCACTTGGCTCATTGCGACTTAGTAACACCTGGACCTCACCTGGAGCCGGAACTTAACGTACTCTCATGACCAACTAATTACCAGGTTACGTTAGGTTAGGTTATTTATTCAATGTATAAATGAATGTACAGGTGCCTCCAGGTGTGGTGTTACAGTGCCTCCCTTGTTCATGTGACACCGTGGGACTACTTCGTCAGGCTAGTATAGGGCACTGATTAATAGCGCTGCTTACTAGTACGTGTTTTGGCTAGTATTTGTATACATGTATTAATGTTAGAAACAGCAATCGTCATGAGAAATAATACATATTTTGGTTTCTGTAATATATGAGGTCACTTACAAAAAATAAGTAATTTCTACCTCCTGGGACCGTAAACAGATGTTCATTGCTCAACATGTGAGAATGATTCGACGCCACAACAATACTACACGATGATAAGCCAAGATAAATGATTACACCACACTCACCCAGGCTTACGTCACCTACAGGAGCACATACACTTCCTGTCACGCCTAACCTAACCTAACCTAACCTAACCTAACCTAACCTAACCTAACCTAACCTCGTAGGGTACCTTAAGGGTGTTTAAGCATCAGGTCAAATAAACTATAGACACCAAACATCAATAGACAACTTAAAAAATATACACTATATTAACTTTATAACATGGAGGGATATATTTATTTTATATCAAACGACAGAGAGAAAAAAAAAAGTCATTCCCTGGTGGCCATTGAGACTCCCACAACCAACTCTCCCGCAGCGGATAAACTTTGAGTTCATCCTTGACCAGAAGTTGGGCCCCAGTACACGACGAAGATAAGTATCATTAGGGCTAAAAGCAATACTGTACCGGGTGTCTCATCAAGGACTGAAAGGCAGTGATTGAAGAAGCCTTGGGCCTGGTTTCTCTACCTGACCTCACCCCACCTTATATGCCAGTCCAGTTTGTCTCTCTCACACGCACACACACACACACACACACACACACACACATACACACACACATCCCCCTTCCACACACACCGCAGCTGCCTGGGGGTCAAACATGTGAACCCTTCCCATCTCCTCCCGTTCAGCACCTCCCCATCAACTCCTCCCCATCAACTCCTCCCAATCAACTCCTCCCCATCAACTCCTCCCCATCAAGAAACCAGCGCAAGGATTGATTACCACTTTGTATCTGTAATTACCATAAAAGTGACAAATCCAACTCGACAAGAAGGGAAGTCAGAGTGTGGACGTTGTATACATCTGGTGAGGCAAAGTCCAGTGGCGGTAAACAAGGACGGTCCTGATATCTCACGCCAATGTGTTAAATGAGGACCCTACCACGATCACCACAGAGGAACTACCGTGGGGTCATCTCCCTCCTACAGGTAAACTTAACGATGGATCCCTGGCTGATAGTGGCACTTAGAGGCACTCGGAACTGGCCCTCTCACCTCCCTCTAATCTTCACTACGTCTACAGCTACCAGTGTAAGGGGACAAAGTTGCTAGAAGAAAGTGTTTACGTGTAGATGTCTCGTCACCCTGCTGTAGTGGCTGTAGACTGTATCTTCATCCCAAAACAACAACACAATGACCATCTTCCCACCATAACAACCCTACAAAGAACGTCAGAATTATCCCCAAATTTCCTATAACATTTAAACTATTGACTTAATTACCTGAGTACACCTGGAGTCACTCAGCCAGGTGATAAAATACTAATTACTTCAACTCATAATAAATAGTCCGTTTAATTACTCTGTTTACCGTTCATTATAACCGCAGACACAGCTAATATTAACTCTCATCTAATTTCGCGACAATTAAATTTACAAAGCTGGATAATTATGTTAGCGGAGATGATAAGAGATTAAACAATAATTAATTAATGTAAACAAAAGGAAACCAATAGTAATTAAGCAACAGAAGTAAAGGTTAATGATGATGAGGGATATTGACTTTTGTTATTGTTTATTAAAGGTAAATCTACGAGGATTATTAAACTGAAATGAATATTATAAATGTTGCTTTTATTAAGGTAGTATTATGACTATTGTTTAATGTTTGATATGTATAAATTAACGACTGATCTGAAGTTAATGGAGAAACTACATCCATATCACCTAATTATGCGTACCTGAAACAACACCTGAATAACCTAACCTAACCAAACCTAACCAAACCTAACCAAACCAAACCTAACCAAACAGAACCTAACCTAACCATTTGTAATTGAATACATACGGGTATTTATCGATGACGTCAACACCACTTTTTTTATTAATCATAGCAGAGCAAAACGCGATATTAATTTACGATACAAGTGATTCACATCTCTCTATTACCAGTCTTTAATATATCTATCCCATTACTCTTATCAGTTAATATATTTCACGACAAAAATAACTCAAGATTACTTATCGAGGGGAGACAGAGGGCGTTCGTGCGCCTTTCGTTCGTTATTGAGGGCGTTTATGTGTCTTTCGTTCGTTATTGAGGGCGTTTATGTGTTTCGTTCGTTATTGAGGGCGTTTATGTGTCTTTCGTTCGTTATTGAGGGCGTTTATGTGTCTTTCGTTCGTTATTGAGGACGTTTATGTGTCTTTCGTTCGTTATTGAGAGCGGTTATGTGTCTTTCGTTCGTTATTGAGGACGTTTATGTGTCTTTCGTTCGTTATTGAGGGCGTTTATGTGTCTTTCGTTCGTTATTGAGGGTGTTTATGTGTCTTTCGTTCGTTATTGAGGGCGTTTATGTGTCTTTCGTTCGTTATTGAGGACATTCACTTGTCTATTGTTCATCATAATCTCCCTCACACTCTCCCTCACATTGTCTCCCTCCAACACACTCCCTCCAACAATCTTCCTCCCTCATACTGGATGGTGGAGGATGAGAAGGAGGAGGAGGAGGATGAGGAAGAGAAGATTGAGAAGAAGGAGGTAATGGATAAAGAAACAGGCCGGGGAAAGAGAAGAAAAGGAGAAGAAGAAGAAGAAGAAGAAGAAGAAGAAGAAGAAGAAAAAGAAAGAAGACGAAGAAGACACATTTATCATAGCGGCCATCTCTTCCGTGTGTAATTGGAAACGTATTGGAGACTCTTTCCTTCTGCCAGCCAGTCCACAAATTACGAGCGAGACCTTCCTCCTCCTTTCCTCTTTTCCCACTCTCCCTCCTCCTCCTCCGCCCTCTCCTCCTTCTCCTCCTCCTCTTCGCTCTGAGATGATTATAAGATACGTCCTTGAAAAGATCACCACAGATGAAGTCCTTGATTTTTGTTGAAGCATATAGTTAATTACCTCAGGTGTGTGTGTGTGTGTGTGTGTGTGTGTGTGTGTGTGTGTGTGTGTGTGTGTGTGTGTGTGTGTGTGTGTGTGTGTGTGTGTGTTTACAATCATAACACGAGCAAAGTTTTCAAGCTAATTCCTCCCTCCTTCCGAAAAACAAAAACAAAACTCAAAAACAATTTACTATAATCTTTCACTATTCATACCTGAAGAACCTAACCTAACCAAACTAACCTAACCTAACCAAACCTAACCTAACCTAACCAAACTAACCTAACCTAACCTAACCAAACTAAGACGACACCTGCACTATATAGTAAGACAAAATAAATCCCTTAACTTTATATTTACATACAAATACATACATACATACAAAACCCGACAACTTTCTCCTCCTGAGCCCCGACAGAGAGTAATGCCGACGGAGGATGGGAGAAAATGCCGGCAATGTTTATCAGTTTGGGTCGGATATGTACTAAGTCTTGCCCTACGCCCTGTCTTGTTTACCACAGTTTTGGACTTTAAGTTTTAAATCTGGCCAGTTGATGATGTTATATTCATGGCCAGGTGACACTTATTCATGGCCTGGTGACACTGTTTTATTGATGGCCGGGTGACACCCATTCATGGCCAGGTGACACTGTTTTATTCATGGCCAGGTGACACTATTATGGCCAGGTGACACTCTATTCATGGCCTGGTAACACTGTTTTATTCATGGCGGTGACACATATTCATGGCCAGGTGACACTCATTCATGGCCTGGTGACACTGTTTTATTCATGGCCAGGTGACACTCTATTCATGGCCTGGTGACACTGTTTTATCTATGGCCGGGTGACACTTATTCATGGCCAGGTGACACTTATTCATGGCCTGGTGACACTGTTTTATTGATGGCCGGTGACACTTATTCATGGCCATGATACTGTTTCATCTTCATGGCCAGGTGACACCTATTCATGGCCTGGTAACACTGTTTTATTGATGGCCTGGTGACACATATTCATCCAGGTGACACTCATTCATGGCCTGGTGACACTGTTTTATTCATGGCCAGGTGACACTCATTCATGGCCTGGTAACACTGTTTATTCATGGCCGGGTGACACATATTCATGGCCAGGTGACACTTTATTCATGGCCAGGTGACACTCATTCATGGCCTGGTGACACTGTTTTATTCATGGCCGGATACCTTATTCATGGCCAGGTGACACTTATTCATGGCCAGGTGACACTGTTTTATTCATCCAAGTGACACTTATTCATGGCCAGGTGACACTCATTCATGGCCTGGTGACACTGTTTTATTCATGGCCGGGTGACTCATTCATGGCCAGGTGACACTGTTTTATCCATGGCCAAGTGACACTTATTCATGGCCAGGTGACACTCATTCATGGCCTGGGTGACACTGTTTTATTCATGGCCGGGTGACACTTATTCATATCCAGGTGACACAACTCACTCAAGGAATCATAGAGGATCGAACCGAGGTACTCTGTCTCTATAGTACTACACAGAGTCCCATTCAACACAAAACCCATCATTTAATTATATAAAACACAGGAGAGAGAGGGGGGAGAGAGAG